TCCAATATGGAAACTGAGGCAGACTCTCTCAATGTGCCACTCACACCCTAGCAATATGCTGGGACCACTGACTTTCTAACTCACTGTCAGACGCTGAGATCCCACCCACATAGGGACCATCTTTGAGCCTTTCTTTCCCAGTGTCAAGTCTAAGGCAAGTCATTCAGAAGGTACAAAATAAATGCTTATTATGTGGGCTGGGGACATGCTTCAAATGATTGCGCCCCAGCCTAGCAAGCACAGGGCCCTGAGTTCAAACCCCAGGGACAACTGCCAAAAAACAATAATAAATATATAAATAAACGCTGTTGCATGAGCAGAGCTGAATACGTTTTTCCTTCAGAATTCCTAGGCTGTGAATTTACAGCAGAGGCATTCACGGATTAGGGGACTCACTGCCCCAGATCTCACAGGACCAGCACTAATGCAGCTGAACTTAAAACTGCATGCTGGGTGCAACCTCCACAGCTTTCTAGAAAAAGAGCTCCCCACCTCTTAGCCCTCACTCCTGCCTGCCCAGACAAATTGGCCTGGCCGTCTACAAACCTGGCACGCAGCTCAGCCTAGGGGTTTGAACAAGGAAAACTTCTCTTATCTTAATTAGGAAATTAATTCCGCTTGGCCTAGATTGATATGTGGTCAGCTCGTGCTTGGGGGCCAAACAGGAAGAAAATAAGTGAGGTTTTGTTTCCCTTTTACCCTGCATTCCACTCCTGAGCACCCATCTGACATGAAAAGGATGGAGTTGGCAGAGGGGAGAAGAGAGTGGCACCAAAGGTGAACAAGGTCCTTGGGCAGGCAAGCAGCAGCAGCCACAGTTCTCCCACGGCCCTGCTCAGCAGGAGGAGCCATCCAACTGGTCTTGCAGGCGCCTCCTTGCCAAAGCCTGGCACTCAGTCTCCTCCTCCTGTCCCCCTGGGCTCCCTCATAATCCCTCCTGCTTCTCTAAGCTCTTTGTCCAACTCTCTTCTAAGAGGTGGTACTGGATCTGTGCCCAGGGGACATCCCCCAGGCTAGGGCTCACCCTGTCCATTATAGAAAGGGGGTCATCCACATTTGCTGCTCAGTTCCCTGACCAGGACCAGTCAGAGAGACCTTGGGAAATGAGTCACCCACACACACCACCTTCCTTCAAGCTCACAGCTGCTCCCCCTGGGGCCAGACTGGTGCTTCCCAGACCCAGGCTTCTGGTTTCACCGTCCCCCATCCACATGCATGCCATGTCCAAACTAAGGCAGCAGGCAGGGAACTGAAGGAGGCTGAAGGGAGAAGAGTCCTGGCCCCCTGGAGTTGCCGGGAAAATCTGACTCAGCCTCTACTCACTGACATTAGAAAGGAACCTGGGGAAGCTCCCAGTGTCCCATGTCTGGGAGCTTGCCAACAGCACCCTTCATTCTATAGGTAGAAAAATTAAGGCCCAGATAGAGAAGGCAACTTGCCTAACGCCCACATCAGAGGCTAGAACCCACCCAACTCCTGACTTCAAACTTGGCCTCTCCACACTCCACTGACACCTCTGGAACTCCTCTTGCCTACAAGGCTAAGAGAACAACCCAAGCCTTTTCTTTTTTTTCTTCTTTCTTTTTTTTTTTTTTTTTTTTTTTTGGTGAGATGGGGTCTGAATCAGGGCTTTGCACTTGCAAGACAGGTGTTCTATCGCCACACCCTCCAGTCCCCAAGCCTTGTAAAGCTGCTTAACATCAAACTAGAAAGAACCCTTGAGAAGTTACAGTGAGACAATTAATAGAAACACTTTGCAGAAGAGCATCCACCTGTTTTACAGAAACGCAAACCAAAGCCCACAGAGGTAAGGGAGCCTGCAAGGTCCTTGGTCACAGCCAGACAGGGGCAGGGTGGGGCAGGCAAGACTCCTACCATTTAAGTGATCCAGGTCTGAGGGACACCACTGGGGGATGGTGAGGAGGTGGAGCTGTTCTCAGGCTTTGGTCATAAGGAAACAGGAGGTGGCCCAAATGAACTGCAGACTCTGTACCCAACTCAGGTCGAAGGAGATCACTGTGTAGGGGGGTAGTAGGGAAAGAATGGGTAGGGAAATTTTTATGTATTTGCAAAAAAAATATGATGCAATTTCCCAGCTAAAAATCGATTTCTGAGACCACAGAGCTGCCACATGAAAAAAAAAAAGGGTCAATAAGCCACACTCACCCTCCCCTGATTATCCAAAAGGGCAGAGAGACAGGACAGAAAAGGGAAAGTCTAGCACTAAGAGGCAGGAGAGGAAGGCACAAAAGGTAAGGTGGTGTTTAATTTTCACAATACTCCCGAAAAGGGCCATTAAGGCTCAGTGAGGTTACGGGATCACAGACACACTGGCAGCATTTGAAGCCAGAGCCCATGCTCCTTTCTTCCACTAACTGACCCTATGTTGAAGAAACTTGAGCCCTTCCCATCCCAAAGCCCCAATCTGCCCTTCTAAATCTCCCCAGCATTGGCTCTCAGCTCCTTACAGCCCTCCAGGGACCTGCAGTCAGCTTTAGGTACCTTTACAATTGGTATGGGGACAGTGCTGCTCAGGGAAAGAAGTATTCCAGCAAAGGGGTTGAAACCTGCAGTGGGAGCTGGGTGACTTCCCTCACTCAGGAACAGATAGCTAAATCCTGCTGAGATGCTATAACTAAAAGCTGTGCACGTAAATTCTCCCTCTTCCTGCCTCCCTCTGCTCGTCCCAACTAAGTGCTTCCGGGCTTGAAAACAATTCAACAGCTCTGGCTAGCCAAAGCAATTCAATTATGAAATTTACCATGTAAGATGAAAACCGGCATCTCAATCAGCCAATTCATTTGCAGCAGGCCATTCTGTTTGCTCCTGCCAGCCCCATCTGGCCAGGCCACGCCCACACTGCTGACAGGTACAGAAGGACTAAGAGCTCAAGCAATAGGGCTGGTCCTTGGGGCCAGTGTGGTTAGTTCTCCCAGGACCACCACCACCCCCAACCCCCCGCAAAGGGAGGCAGCATCCAGAGGTCACTCAGCCTCCTGTGAATCTGGATTACTACCAGAAAATGAACACCATTTTCTCCATCACCTCCCACTGCATTCACCCTGACCTCATCTGCTGCTGGAGCTGACACCAACCTGGGAGAAGTGTGGGTGGGTGGTAGGAGAAATGGCCCCCTGCCCAAAGCCTGGAATCTGGGCTGTGGCATGCCTTTCTCATCTTTACATAGTCCACACATCCTCTCCCCAAGAGGCCTTCACCACCTGTGGCCCTCCTCTGTCCCCTTAGCTCTACTTTCTGCCTTTCTCACTGGGGTTCTCTGCAATTCCTCGACTAGAGGTCCCTGAAAGCAGGGTCCCCAGTCAAATCTGTGTAAACAATTAATGAATTAATCAATGAGTGAATAAATAAAGCCACTCGCTATGTAACATGCTCACTCAACCTATGCTGCCCCTCCTCCTGGATGACACATGGGCACTTTCTTTTCTTCCTGCTCTCTCCTCACACTGAGTGCCCACAAGTTTAAAATGCCATTAAGGGACATCGGGCTGCTCCAGCATACAACTTGCCTACAGTGCTCTCTACAAAGAGAGGTGCAGCCCCACACCCAGGAAGAAGTTTTCTCCATTTCTCTACTTGCCTTTCAACAATCTTCCTGGAGTCACTTCCTAACAAATGACTCAAAACAAAAATAGCTTTGGGCCTGGGAGTTCACAAGGCACAGCTTGTCAACTCCAGGACCCTGGTCTTCCAAGGACCAAATCGGCCCCAGGGTGGGGAGGACCTTGTGCCTACACTTCCTGACCCCCCAGAAATCCTAGACCCACTGCACAAAATCACTTTCACCTATGAGAGGGGAGAGACCACAGGGTCAGGTCGAAGTCAGTCACCTGAGTTTGGTTCTTACGACACTGGCAACTTCGCTCTCTCCATGCCCCACTGCCAGGCTAGAGTGAAACCACCCTGCCAAGACATCTGGCATACCTGGCTCTAACTCTCCTGGGAGGGAAGACCCAAGCTTCAGTGAACCTTCCACATGGTCAAAGAATGAGACTCAGCAGGACTCCATCCAGCCCAGATCAAACCCAAGGGGCCTGGGTCTGCCCTCTACTTCCTTTGGTTAGAAATTCTTCTTTGCTCAGACAGAGAGAATGCACTTGGGGACTCCACAAAGCAGGGCACAAAAAGGCGTCTGGTGCCCCCTGTGGGATTAGTTCCCCCAAATAAAAAGCCTGGAAGGGAACAGTGCGGGAGAAAAGAGGGGTCGGGGTTGGGGACATGCCAACCACAAAAGAGTCCCCGGTCTGGGCAAGACGTGTGCAGGGGAGAGGCAGGCTGGAGACGATGAGCTCTGGACCTGCCAGGCTGTGCCCACTACCGAGGTGGGCAGGTGGGCGTGACTCTGGGCGTGTGACCATTCCTTGCCTGTTGGACAGTTGTCTAAACAGAAACGAGGGAGCCTGCCAGTCTGGACATACACGGCCTAGGGCAAAAGGGCGGCGGGGCCCCCGGGACCAGGCTGGTGGTGACATTCCCTTGTTTCCCCCTTGGGCCGTCGCTGGCACCAAGAGCGCGGAGACTTCGCTCGGCTGGGGCGCACAGCCTGGCGGCTCACATCCTCCAAGACAGACAGCCTCCTCTTTCTAGGATCGATAGTAATTTTTCCAAAAGAGTCGGCGGACTCAGTGAATCACCCACTCCCAGGGGAAAGAGTCGCAGCTCCCGCGCGCAACATCCATTTGCAAAACAATTCATTCCCTGGCCTGGAGCTCCCAGCCCAAACCCTAGCCGAGTCCCGAGGCACCGACGAGGCGGGGGAGACCCAGGCCGGGGGCTGGGGGCGGGGGGCTGACGAGGCGGGGGACCCCAGCCACGCCGCGCTCCTCCCGGGCACACGCGGGCCCGCCGGAGGCCACTCTGCTAGGGCCTCGGTCCGGGGATGGGGTGGGGGGGATGGGGGTGACGAGCCCCCGGCGTCGCGGACGCAAACCGGCCCAGGGGACGGCGCCCCCAGCCTGGCCCAGTCCAGCCCCGGTACTCACCGTTCGGGGCGCTGCCCCTCGCCGCGTTAAGACACCCCCTGGTCGCTTACTCGAGTTCCGTGGTCCCAGCCGTCGCCACCACCGCAGCCGCGTCCCTCGGCGGGTTCGCCGGAGCCCGAAACGCGCTCCCGGTGCCGCACGGCAGAGGCGCCACCAACAAACTAGTTTCTCCGACCTTCCCGCCCCGCCTCCCGGCCCGAAGCGTAGCAGCCAATCAGAAGCTGGGCTTCTGCGACGGATGGGCGGCCAAACCCGTAGTGTAGCTGCATGAGAAAAAAGGGGCGGGCGCCCAGGTCGCGCCGGTACAGCGGGAAGGCGGGGCAGGGAGAGGAAAAGGACTTCGACCACATTCTTAAAGGGGTAGGCTCCTGCCCGCCCCGGGGGTGCGACTTTGGGAACAAAACGCGACAGTATTCTAGAGCTTTCCGGAGGAGGAAGCTTTGTGAATTGCACACGCCTCTTCTGTCTCCAAATCACTGGGGACGTAGACTGTTTGCGGAGCCACAATTTAATTGTACCAGTGTTAAGGGACCCCTTTCTTTTTATTCTGGGCTTGTTTGGGATTTTTCTGCAATCACCAAATCCCATCTGTACTTGAAATCTGTTTATTTCAGGAGGGGACTTCAGCTCTCCTGTGTCATTTCTCACTGAACTCCTTTCATAAACCAGCCTTCAAATTCATTCATTTATCCATCCATCCCTTAATTCATTAAAGACCCATACCTGGATACCTCTGTCCCATGCTAGCTGGTTTCAAAGGGATGGGGGAGGGACTGTAAATCCATATCCTTGCAGCCTGGGCTTCGACTCATTCCCCCACTCCAGCCTGCTTTGTGTTCAATCTCTTCACCTGTAAAGCGGCAGTTAAAAACGTCTAATAAAATTATTTAGGGAATTAATCCTAGGAAATTCCTAGTCAAAGTAAATGTGCAATAAATGTCCTTTCCTTCCCCTCCCACTGAAAATCAATAATTCAAGCAGCTCACTAAAGGATACAAAGAGCCCTGGTAAAGAAAGTGCTCTAAGAGCCAAGAATGGAGTGGGGAGACTTCCCAGGAAGTAGAATTTATGTAGATAGGAGTTGCAAAGGAGATGAGTGGAGGAGAAGGAGGGGACTGTGCGAAAGATTTTGAAGACAGGCAGGATTGTGATTGGTAGAAACCAAAAAATGAGTCCCTAGGCAGAAGGCTACTTATACTAGCCATAAGAGATTCCTTGCTTCAAACACAGTAAGACAAAAGAGAAGGCACCATCCAGAAGGGTATTTGGAGAAAAGCAACTTGACATAGAGGCAAGCAGCCTGAGATAGGGTTTGAGTGGCAGCTCCGCCTCTCTCAAGAACTGTGTGGACTACAGGCAGGTTGCTCTGAGCCGGAGTGCCTGGTAGTTGGGGATGAAAGGAAGATTCTAAAACCTCCCTTATAGGGTTATTGTAAAGATAAAATAAGGCAAGTCATGCACCTAGTAAATGCGCAATCTAGTGTCTCAGATCTGGAGACATTTAAAACACAGGGGTTCTGATATCTAACAGTAAGGCTGGCCAAAGGTGAGCAGCTGGTTAAGTGTAAGTGTGCTGTTAAGGTACCTTCCAAAGGAAAAAAGGCAGCATCAAAATAATTGCCCCACTTTAAAGAAATGACACAGATCACATTTGTAGTTTTAGGAGCCTGCCAATTTTCCAAAGCTAGAGTTTTTATATAATTGTTGGTTGGATGAGGCTACACATGCAAAATTGTTTCTTAGCAAGTTCACAAGCATTGCTTATTATCCCTTACAGGCTCTCTGTGAAATTATATGTGCCAACCATCTAAAATCTGGTCCAGGTTATCATTTTTTTCTCCCTCTTCAACTCTGAGGCTTAAATTACCCAGTAGAATATATTAAAGTCAAATATAGGCAATGGAAGGAAATCAGAGCAAGAACACATGTTGAGCTATTGGATTTAGATATGACCTGAAAGGAAAGCAGGGAAAGACGAGATGGAGTTTGCTTTGCCATCTGCCTTCGTCCACCTGTGGACCCTGGAGCACAGTCATAGCCCTTCTCAGCCAGCAACCAGGGACCCAATAACTGCCAGTCAAGCCCAGTACACAGAGGGCTTTAGGAGGGCAGAGAGTATAACATTCATCTCTGAATTCTTGGTGCTATACATTAGTTATCTTCCCTTTTTTTTTCTTGGCAGTTTTGAACTCAGGGTCTTACACTTGCCAGGCAGGTGCTCTACCACTCAAGCCACTCCACCAGCATTGGTTATTTTTTGAGATAGAATCTTGCTTTATGCCCCAGATAGCCTGGATGGCAACCCTGCTATTTACACTTCCCACATAGCTGGGATGACAGGAGTACATCACTGCACACAGCTTTTATTGGTTGAGATGGGGTCTCTTGAACTTTTACCCAGGCTGGCCTTGAATCCAAAAATCCTTATCTCTGCTTCCTAAGTATCTAGGATTACAGACCTAAATCAGCACTGATTACTTACACTCAGCTATGAATAAATCTTATATCAGTTATAAGTAGGGTGTACTGCATATGACAGAAAAGCCAAAATTAACTGTGACTTAAATAAGATAGAAGTTTGTGTCTGCAAGGGCAGCTGGGAAATGTAGACTTTGGTGTGAGTACATTGACTTCCCCAGAGTCAGGGGTTCTCGTTAGCAGGAGAAATGAGCAAATGCCTGGTGTCAACCAACAGTCCTGGCCAAAACCCTTCTCCCTCCAGGACTGCCATCTATCCAGTATTCCTGGTGGCCCAGCGTCTAAAGTCTGAAGAGTCTAAGAATTCAATGCATATTTGTTAATAGATGATTGAACTCTTGGCTGCCTCTTTCTGGATTTGGCCTCTTTTGCTGATTGCTCCACACTTTCCAGACTTTCAAATATTGGAGTATGCAGGATGTGAGTGGAGATGGGTAATAAGACCTTTCCCCTAGGTACATCCATACTCTACCTGATTTTGAGCAGGCCCATGCCTGATGTTCTTGCAAGCCCTGGCAACTCCCAATCCCAATCTCCCACCCTGACCTCCACTGAGCTGCAGGCCTACAGGTGTGGCTGCTTAGGCCATATCTCCCCATGGATGGCTAGTGACACTTCAACCCTAACATGTCCCATGGAGCTCCCAATCCCGATATGGTGTGAGCCTCCTCATCCCAGGAAAGCACAGCTCAGTCCTTCCTTTGTTCAGATGGAAAATCTTGACATTGCTCTCTCCCTCTTCACATCCAATCCAAGTCTTTGCCAATCTGAGCACTTCTTACCACTCACTGCCACCTCCAGGCTGCTCCACATGACTGTGTTCTCTCCTCTGGTTCTTAGCAGCCTCCCCACTCATCTCCCTGCTTCTTCCCTTGCCCCCTGGAGTCTACTCTCAACACAGCAGTCAGAGGGATCTATTTATTTTGCCATCTCCTTATGTTCTCTACCCCTTGAAGTTCCCCAGTGGCTCCCATTTCACTCAGAGTAAAAACCAAGTCTTTACACTGTCCCACTAGGATCTGGCCAGGTCTCCCTTCCCATGTCACCTCTCAACTTCCTGCACCTAAAGACTCTGCTCCAGGCCCACTGAACTTACAGTCTAGGCCTCAGGCAGGCACACCCCCCTCAGGGCCTTTGTCTCGCCTGGCTATAGCCAGACTGCTCCTCCAGATGGCCACGTGGGTCCCTCTCTTGCTTCCTTTGCCTTCTGCTCAAATGTCACCTTAATCACAGGCCTTCCTGCCACCTGACACACCTGGCAATCCCTGTCTTTCCTCCAGATCTCCAGAGCATGCACTTCTACCTGATAATTGCTTATACTGTGCAAATATCAAAGCACCATGTGTACATACTCACGCAGCATGCAACAGGATAATAAAATATTTTGAGAACCTCAATGATATTGAAGGTTTCCTGGGAAAATATAGATGGAGCTACCTTAAAAAAAAGCCAAAAGCAAACCACGAATAGCTCAATGACAATTAGAGGGATTTGAACAGTTAATGATAAAAAGCATCAATGTACCCAGAAGACACAGTGATTGATTCTGAATGCATGCATACCGACAGCAGGCCTCAGATACACAAAGTAAAGACCATTAAACTGAACAGAGAAACAGATAAATCCACAATTGCAGTTGAAGACTTCAACACTCACCACTCAGCAATGAACCACTAGACCCAAACAGTCCAATCACGGGACAGGCTCAAATCGACTCCAGCCAGCAATGTAAAGAATATACACTTTTGTTCCCAAGTTCTCATGAAACATGCAATAAGGTGAATTGTATTGCAAGCCACATAACAAACTACCAAAGTTTAGAAATTTAATTTATACAGTTTGTGTTCTCCAGCCATAATGGAATCAAACCAGAAGTCAATTACAGAAAGATAATCAGAAAATCTCTAAATGTGTAGGAATGAAACAACACACTTCTTAATAACCCACAGGTCAAAAAGTCTCAAAGAAAATGATACTAGTAATAATACACACACAATGAATCTCAACAAGATGTTTTTCCAAGATAATATTAAAAGCTGCCAGGTGTTGGCAGCTCACACCTATAATCCTAGCTACTTGGGAGACTGAAATCAGGAGGATTGCAGTCAGCCTGGGCTAAGAGTTTGAGAGACTCCCCCCCATTTCCAAAATAACCAGAGAAAAATGGATTGGCTCAAGTGGTAGAGAACCTGCTTTGCAAGCATGAAGCCCTGAGTTCAAACTCCAGTCCAATAAAAAAAAAAAGCTATATAAAGGGTACAAAATTATTAGATAGTGAGAAAAAAGTCTGCTGCCCTACAGCACAGTAAGGTGACTATCATTTCTACTGATTTACTGTATATTTCAAAATAGGAGAGAAGGGTTTGTATGTGTGTTTTGTTTTTCAGTGCAGGGGCTGAACCCTGGCCATGATTTGTGTGACAGTATATAAAGGACAATGTGTAATAGACAATTGTTTTTTGGGATTTTTTTTTTGGCAGTACTGGGATTTGAACTCAGAATCTCATGCTTACTAGGCAGGTGTTCTACTGCTTGAGCCACTCCACCAGCCTGACACTTCTATTAATATTCCATGGAAATGAATGAAAACAGGATTGTAGCATATCAAAACACGTAGGATGCAGCAAAAGCGGTGCTGAGAGAGAAACTGA